ATGATAACCTAATGCGTTATGGGCAGGGCTCGACAAATATGCTTATCTACTTGCCTATGGCGAGTAGATTTCAGCCGGTCGTCCCGTTCACTGGTGGCACGTACATGCGCAGTGCAGGTCTGGCGCATGCACGGTACGGGGCTGGCGAGTGGGTTTTCGCCACGGTCGTCGAGCCCTGGTTATGGGTATGACTCTGCTGTGATGTGTCACAGCCTCGCTGTCCAGTGTAGTATGATTAGCTGTCCGTGATTACAAGAGGCCCTGATCTTCAATAAGAAGAGTGTTGCCGCCAAGATAGCCATAGGGAAATGCCTGCTTTACATTCAGAGGGTTGCCTTGTAATACTGTGAGAGAGAGTCCCGAAAGGCGGACTGATAGATTCCACTTGTAAGACAGAGACATAAGTGATGGTCTTTGCACGTGTGCTGGGGTTTGAGCAGTTGCAGAGACTGAATGACCCTGCGAGGCAGATAATGTGGGATGCGCTCCTGTAGTGTGCCCCTCCGGCTAGCTTCTCTTCTTTCCATTTCATTCTGAGTCAAGTACCAGTGACCCTCTCTGTGTCTGTTGGAGCTTCACTGCTAGATCTTGCTGGGGCCTTGGTCATTTCCAGGCCCTCTCTTCCTAGCCTTCTAGACAGGCTTCCACTTAAAATATCTGACTAGGTGTATCTAGGGTTCTTCCACACCATGGCTCACTGGGAGGATCGTGCTTTCACTTTCCAAAATAGTGACTGATAGTGATAAACTGTAGCGGATTGAATCGATAAATGCAGTGCTACCATTGTGATAAGCACTTCTGCTTAAGGCCCAGGGCAGCTCCTTTACCCTTACTCCTGGACAAAAGAGTCCTTTGTAAATTTTGTCCCCTAGAATCTGGGCTCTAAGACCCTGACCCTGCAAACCCTGAACTTCAGTGGTGGGAATAGTTCCATTGAAGTCACTGGGATTATTCATGTAAGTAAAAGTGCGCATGTGTTTAAGTATTTGCAGGATTGGGGGCTAAGGCTGTATGTTGGTTTGAGAGACGGCCTAATATTAAAAAAAAAAAAAACTGAATTAGAAATTATATATTTAAAAAAAATCCTTAAAGTATAGCTCCCAGAAAATGTAAATGCCAAGAATGACGTATTTATTTTCAGGGGCAGCTTTCTCAGAGTGTTTTGCCATTGCTTGTATTATAATAATAATAATAGCAAAGAGAGCAAATAAAATGTACAGTTCAAAAACTTCTGCATACATTAAACCAATTTAAAAAGGATCATACTCAAGTTGAAAAGAACGTTTCTCCATTTCAGACAGTAGCGACAAACTTGGCTGGGGATAAATCAGTTTTCAGCGACTGTCAGATTTGCATCCTGAACAACTTTGGTGGGGAAGTCAAAATAGAGGGCCAAAAATGCATTTACACATAGATTTTGGGGGAACAAACTCTTAAAATTATATTCTAAGCCTTAAGACCCACCAAGCTGTCCTCTCTTTTTAAAGTCAATTAAATTTATATTAGTGTCACACATGCCCTGTTATGTCATATTAATACGTAGTGCTTTATAAACACTAATGCCTGCAACATGGCTTATTATCCTCATTCTGCGGATGAACAGGGAAACTGAAGAAGATAGATTAAATGGCTGATGATTTACTCAAGGTCACAGAATTAGGCAGGGTCAGAGGCCAGATTAGAATCAACAAGTAGCCCTGTGGCACTTTAGAGACTAACAAATATATATATAGAATCATGAGCTTTTGTGGGCAAAACCCACTTCTTCAGATGAACTTCAGGAGGCCACAGGCTCACTCGTTTTTAAAGTTACAGACTAATGCGGTTACCCCTTAGAGACAGATCAGAATCTGCTATTCCTGGCTCTTTGTCCTTTGTGCATACCTACAAATCACAGACCCTTCGTAGTTTATCAAGACTGGCACCATTTCCTTTGTCACTTTTGCACAGATCGGTGCATCAAGTGTGGTAGAAGTTTTGGTATGTGTGTTAATACTTTTTTTAAAAAGCTCTGTCGCAGTGCTTGAAAACTGACAGTGCCTTGCATCCTATAACTTTTAACATTGTTTTTTTTTGGTGGTTTACATAATAGGCATTGTAAATAAATATGTCACCCAATATTCTAGAAAGATTCAGTCGAGTCCCTAGCCAATGAATATAGCTTGTGAGGTTGTTTCAGATGCTGCCCTATTCTTGGCTCCTGTGGCTGTGGCTTTAGCTACAGGTTAGTACAAAAATTGGCAACTGCCGGCTCTGTTGAGCCTGGTTTTACCTGCTGTTAATCTAACAAATTGGATTATGGCTAATTCAGCTTCTGTGCAGGTATGCAGTTATCGCAACCCCTTTAAAGTGGCAGGAAGCCTAATTCAGGGTTCCCCTTATTAGTGTGGCCTTTTGCCACATTCACAGAGATTGCTAATTCTGATCCTCATGACTCTCCCTTCCACGATGCAGTGTGCTCCACGTGGTTTGCAAAGGAAAACAAGGAGCCGTAGTCAAAACTAGGGATGTAAGCGACTAGTTGAGTAGTTGACTACCCGATAAGACTAGGCTTATCGGGTAGTCAAGTGACTACTCAACTAGTCGCTTTCTCCCCTGCCCCCCTTGCTGCCTCTGTAACAGAGGCAGCAACGGGGGGAGAGGAAGTGGGAGCCGGCTTAAAAGCTGGTTCCCCCCAGTACTGTCTCTGTGGTGTGTGGGGGGCAAGGGAGGCAGAGCCACAGCGGTCCCAGACCTGGCGTGAGCCAGGACGGCTCGGTCCCAGCTTGTGCGGGCCCCGGGAGCTATCCCTGCTGCAGCTCTGCAGTTTAAATATAGCTGCACACCAAACTTCGACTACATGTAAATTGCAGAGCCGCAGCGGGGGCAGTGAGCGACCCCACCCCCCATCGATACAAATTGTATCGACTACACAATTAGCAAATTACCTGCTTCTTAACATCCTTAGTCAAAACTGGGTAATCACTTGGAAGAAATCACAGAGGTTCGCTATGCTAATGTGCCCTAGGCAGTAGTTACAAAAGCTTATGGCCAATACTGCCTGGATGGTGTGTACTGGGGTTTGCACTTTGCTTTCCAGCATGCCTTAATCTTGTTGCAGAGCGTTCACCTAGGAGGAATTTTTGCCTGAGATCTTTAATAATTTTTATGGAACAATAAAGCCAGTGGACACAAGGGGTAAAATCCTGTTACCACTGAAGTCAATAGCAAAATTCCTGTTATGTCATAATTCCACCTTAGGTCTCTACACCCACTCCCATCTCTACCTACTAATTCTCTGCAGAAGCAAAGAGATAATCCTAGCTTCAGCAAGTTGCAGATAGGGGTGCATGCTATTGAGTATTCTAGAAGGCTCAGTTCCTCCGAGTTGCCCATTTGCATGCAGAATCAAGCCCTGCTTGCTTTCTTGGGTTTATAAAGCTCAGAAATGCCATAGCTGTATTGGTTAAATGAAATGTAGGGGATGAGCAAATTTCAAATTCCAACTGTGTGTGTTGTACAATTTATATTACATGGAAACTTTCCTAAAATAGAGTAGTAATAAAAATAGGACTTGCTTCATTGCACAACAAAACTTAAGGGCTCAGAGGTTTTTGTTAGCAGAGGCAGACCGTGGGGTTTTTTAAATGCTCTAGTTGAGATCCATAATTTTACAGCAGTGACTAGCAGGAAGTGTAAGTTGAATAGCATCTCTTTTTCTAATTGAGCGGTATATCTGTGTGTGTGTGTGTGTTTTTTTTAAACTTTCTTGTGTAATTCTGATCTGTTATAGCATTATTTGGACACTAAAACTACTGTTATATACACTTAGCTGTTTGTATGGAAAAAAGCAATGCAATTCATACTGTGTTTGTATCATAGTATCATTTGGCCATACATACTCCAAGCACAAGCACCTTAAAATGTGTATAACAGAAATAATAATGACCAGTAATAGAGTACAAGAGAGAAACTGCAACTCTCCATTTAAGAAAGGGAATAGACGTTAACGGCGTTAGTGATAGAAATGTAGCTGTGTTAGTCTGGTGTAGCTGAGACAAAATACAGGACTCTGTAGCACTTTAAAGACTAACAATATGGTTTATTAGATGATGAGCTTTCGTGGGCCAGACCCACTTTCTCAGATCAAATAGTGGAAGAAAATTGTCACAATTTAGAATGTCAGGTAACAACCTGTCCAAGGAGACTTAAATCCTTGATGTTCCATTTAGTGACAGAATATTCCCATTAACTTTGAATTTTGTGACTCTTGTGTGGTTACCTTTATATTGTTTAAATGTTTGTGTGTGTTAAATATATTGAACATAATGTTTGTAAAATGCTTCAATAATATAAAACACTGTGGAAGTGCTAAGTAGTATTATGCTAACACAATTCCTTTCTTGTTTTTTTTAAATCACAGAAAATGCAAACAAATACAAAGTCTAAACTATATTATATAATGATGCTGTTAGCTGAGTTTAAAATCTAAGAGCAACAGAGTTACATTTTTAAATAAATAATGCTCCAATTTCAAATCGCATCATGCTGTCGCTGCTCTCCTAAATAAACTGATACAGGCATACACATACAATGATTATTTTTGCCCTATTTAAAAATATAAAGCTGTATTTTTTTGTTCATGAGAAATAACCAGATTGTTAAGAAATAATGCAATATAAACTATACAAACTCTAATACTATTTTCCCTGAAAGATATTGCAACAAGCAATCCCAATTTTTTTTAAAATAATGCCTGTAACTTGAATACATCAGGCCATTCTTTAATGAAGCCTACCTATACCTTTACTTATCTATCCATACTAGTCTTGCAAAAAAAACATACAAAAGATATTTTGTGCAACGACATCAGAGGGAGAAAATATTCTTAGAAAATTTCATGCTGTTAAATCTCTACAGATTTACAGTTTTATCCAGTCAAATTAATGCAAAACCCCAATGCAAGCATTTGGATTTTGAAAACTTTGGAGGAGTGTCATTTCCTAATAGTAATTATTGGTTTTACATTATTTTTTCACAGGGGAGCTGATCACAGCCGCATATGAGCTTGGAGTAAGTATTAGTTTTATTGTTTAATCAATGCTCTCATTAACAGTTTTAGGAATTAAGGAAGTTTAATTAAGCATGGAGTAAAGTAGATTAATTTATTTTCAAACCACAGTTTTTACTAACTTATAAGTACAGCACGCGACAATTTACTTCAAGTTTTAAATCCAATTAAACTAAATTATAAAGCAAAGGCTTTACTGTATATACAGTAGCTGGCTTATTATCAACCCAAATTTTGTATAAGCTGGGGAGAATAAAATAAATCGGGTTAACAATTTTAATAAGTTTTATTATTTAATAAACTTTATTATGGTGCATGATCCCTTTAGGCAAGACCTTAGGACTGTCAGCATGGTGGTAATCCGATAGCAGTGTGGTCTTTCAACTTGCTAACCAATAAAATAGTTCAGAATTTGCTTTTTAAAAACAGCCTTTTGAATGACCCTAATATACTGTGACCCCATACAACAAGCAGTTTAAGAAATCATAATGAAATGTGTCACCTCTTTTCTAAGCGAGTCATTATTATGGGTGATGTGTGTAGCCAAATCGACTAAAGAAAATATTTGCTAAGTTAAAATTGGCACAAAAAGATTGTTACAGAGAAGCTTCTGTTCAAAGACTCTAGTTAATGGTGAGATAGACCCTAGTGTACAATACCAGGCTAATGAAGAAGATACTTAGAATGTCATTGCAATTTTTACTTCAGCTGTTGTGAACTTGCTACTGGTTTGTTCATAGGTTGCCCATCCTCCTGGTTACCCTTTGTTCACTCTGCTGGCCAAACTGGTAATTGGTCTGTTCCCTTTTGGTTCCATTGCCTACCGAGTAAATCTTCTTTGTGGCTTATTGGGAGCAGCTGCAGCATCCTTGTTTTATTATACAGTTTTCAGGTAAAGTAGTTACTAGTATTATTTTTTTCTCCTGGCTATCTTCCACATCTTGGAAAGTTGGGTTAGATTAACCAGCAGTACCTCCTTGCCTTTTTAACCACATTTTATGCCTTATGTTTTGAACTGTAATAAATTCACTTGAATCAGCTAACAATAGTTTAATCTAAATTGGCCTAGGTTCCTCCACAAAAATATCCTTTGAAAAAAATCCATCTTTCTTCTTAAGTTTTTCAGTCTGATAATTACAAATCAATCACCGATCAGTTTAACCAGAACTAATGAAGTTTGTCATTATATAAAGATGCAGATGGTCTGTTTAAATTAACAAGATGAGCTTTACCTATGGGTAAACTGTAAATTTAATTTAATTGCTTGTATTAGAGGCTATGGGCAGGCTAGTGCCTGTCCTTGGTACCTGATTTGTCTTCATCCTGTGCTGCATTCTAGTTATGTCAATGTAATGGATATTTATTTTAATTCAAAATACTCGCAAGAAGAATAATGCAAATAGCAAAGATCAATATTAGCTGCTCCATCTATTGCAGTGGTTTGCTGCTTTCTCTCACTGTAGGTGTTGCATCTGCAGGAGAATTAGAACCTTCTAACCTCTCCATTTTCTCTAGACCTCTAACCTTGTAACAAGACGACAACTGGAATTGCACGTGGTTTGGGATTTTGTTAACCCTGGTTGTCTTTGATGTGGTAGTTCCCTATACTCTTAACCTTAGCCTGACCCATATCACAGAGGATTATGGCAAAAGATAAACAAATTCTAATTCTCTTTTGCAGTGAAAAATAGGACACACTTCATGACTTGAAAATGTTACCAAATCATATCTGAATATTTAAGATGTTCTTTGAATGGAAGCACAAAATGTGACTTAAAATATACCTAAGGAAAAAAATAATGGACTTGAGGCTGTGTGAGTTGGAGTACCCTGAACTCTGACTAACTTCAGTAGGCGTTGAGAGCTCTCAGCCATACAGGAATGGGCCCTGTCATTAAACAAACTTTTTTATTAAGTAAAAATTGATATTTTAACATAAGGTACACACCTTGAAACCAAATATGGTCCTTCGTACATGATTTCAAACTTTATCCGAAGTGTACATTTATAGATTGAAAGATCTTTAGCTATATTATCTGCTAGAAAGTTTTCTATAATAGCATATACATAAAATTTAGCGCCATCATTTTTATCCTTAAACAATAATAAATGTAGTTAATGCGTCTAATTAAAAAACTAATTTTTAACAGTATATTTAGCGTATAAACTCTTAGGGCAGGAATTGTCCTTTTTATGCACAGCACCAATTACACTGTCAGGGCAAACAACATAATAATGCTTGAATTAATTAGCAAGAACACTTTCTTTCATGCTCTAAAAATTTTTCTGATTGATTATTATTATATTTCCTATTATACTGCTATCATTAAGAGTCTACCCTGGTTCTTAATTTATAATGCAGACATAACCTTGCGTGTGCTGAAACTTGGCCTATGAAGCCTAGTAATTCCCCGTTCCCCACATGCGCACACACACTTAAAAAAGTTTTCTTACAGGAAAGCAATGTTAAAATGGCAAACTAGCTTTGTGGACTTTTACGCTTAAAGGAAAACCAGGGATTGTAAAGCTAAATTGTATTAGTTCAATTATGTTTAAAACTTATTCAAAAAAGCAGCAAGAACTGGTCAAAGTAACAATCAGTTGTAATCTTTTATGTCTTTGAAATAGCTTTTCCTAACTTAATAATATGTTACTGTTGTTGGCTTTGTTGAGCTTACATGATAATTGATAATGTACATTTTGAACCATTGTGCATCAAATGTATTTCAAAAGTATGGTTTGGTGTTTTAATAAATCAGGAGTGTTTAAAGATGTCTATTTCACAAAAATGCTGTTGCTTTCTGGATCTGTTACACATTTGTATATTATTCTGAAAATGTACTGGCACGATCTACTTGAAAAGCTTTTAAATTTTCTGTGCTGTTGCTGGTTTTTTTAACTAGGATGCTATCTAAACCAGCTTAACAAATCTTTATATATCTTTGTGCCATAATTTTAATGTAACTAATTAAGTGGCTTCTGAAAACCTGTCAGGGTCAATGCTCATTCTTGCTGTATGTATGCTGCCGATGTTAATAAGAAGATATGTAGATGTTAAGAATACAAATAATTGATGAAGTATGTATCCTTTGGGAACAATGCGGTTCAAGTGGCAAATCTCTCTCCTCAAACAATAGGCACCCTTCAGAAAGGAGCAAGCCATCTCTATGGAAATAGGACTAACAGTGCCCTATTGATTGAGTGGAAGAAGACATTATACAATGTCAGTTGGGTTGTTACAATTTCATTTGTCGTGTGACCTGAACTTAACCTCTAAAAACCTTTCTTCTGTGAACGTAAAACCACCAGCAGGGCACGTTTGCTTACATACCCACTACAGTGAAGTATTGTTTTTTTTTAAATTTTTGTTGTATTTTGTTATTTCCCAGCATATGTACTGGCAATGTATTCCTTGAGCAGGGTTATTCCTTTGTCAGGCGTTTGTTTGAGATATTTTCATGAGTTTATTCATTCACAGGTCAGAACAATTTATTTTCATGTTTAATGAGAGGCTTTTGAGTCACTGAATAGTGGCATTCTTTCTTATTTAAGAGGACATTACAGTACATACAGGATTAGTGTTGAATGGTGTTCAGTACATTTATTCTTTAAACAGATTTATACTTTGACCAGGTAATTGTTCACATGGTGTTCTCTCTACTTACTGCTGGGATAGATATAAAGAACTCCTGTTCCTTTTTTACCACAGATTTTGTTTCTTAAAACAAAGCCCACTTGAAATGTGTTGATGTAAAAGGCTGTTTTCAGTAAGCAAGACTTTTACTGAATGAGCAGCTTGCTTTTTAGAGCTGCAATTACAAAATATCAGGTTTTTTTCCTCTTTACATTTTAAGGTCCATAAAGTGGCATTTAGAAAGAATTCTCTTCAACTGTTGATAATAGAACACAATAATTCATTAATTTTTTCCTTTGTGATACTGAGAAACTATATTATAATTTCAGTATGTGGAAAGTATGAATGATTCCTTAAGTTAATGTTCATTCATTTTACAAAGCTCTTTTGTGTTTGTCTAATCTGATTTGCAAAATATATTTTTTGGCATCGAAGGTGCATTCTCTATTGTAGAGAGAAGCTCAGTGTTCTACATTTCGTTGCTTTAAGTATATATTTTCTATATATTCATTTCATAGTTGGGTATTTTAATTACCTATGTTGAGTAGCATACTTAGTGTGCAGCAGTCATTAGAGAAGCAGTTATACTTGCAGTCCTAGAACTACAGTAGATGTAATTGTTTCAAAAGTTTCTCTTTTAAGTTTGCAGCTTCAGTGTCAAGTGATGTTGCACTTTGTAAGCTCATTTAAGCTATTGAAAAGAGAAACTGTGGCCATAAATAAAAATCTGAGACCGAGCCCAATACCTAAAAGTAACACTTTATTATGGTCTCATCTTGGTATTATGTAAATGGACTCTAACATATTAAACGCTCTGTGGTTTATTCCATCATTTTCTGTTTTGGAGTTGTGATCTGCAGTTGGAGAAGAAGTCTTGCAAATCTTGTGTGTTGGAAGGTTAGCAAAATTTGTGATCATTGTTGTGCTCTCCCAAGTGCATTCATGATTAATGGCACGAGGCAGAAGCAAATGTTATCTTTGTTATCAGAATATGTTGCTGCTTTAAAAACAGAACTGTGAGGGGTTTCCCCACACTTGATAGCCTGTCTCCTGGCCTCCCTCTACCCTTATGGGTGCATCACATCTCAGTTTGCTCCTGCAGAAGTAATTGCTGAGCAGTTGAATATTTTCGATGGATTTGAAAGGAGTCCTAAGCGCAAGAGAAAAGTGAGTCCTTATTGCATGTCAGTGTTAACCTAAAAGCACGGAAACTAAGCAGTCATATACAGTAGATAGAGAGGTTCATTTTATATGTTGACCCTGCAATGCACTGAGCTGATGAAATTATAGTTTAGAGTATTTTCCATATTTACATTTTGATTATGTTCCTTTTCAGAAAAATTAATTTATCAAAGTTTCCGTTAGAGGTAGTATAGGGATCCAGGGCAATTTCAAATATTCCAAAGCTATAATGCAGACATTTAATTTATTAATCTGGAATAAATGGGGAGTACTTTACTGCAATCAGAGAACCTATTCTTTTCAATGGTTACACCTTTGACCATCAACCTTTTCAGCAAAGAACAGAACATTAAAATACAGTACCTTAGAGAATGAGGAATCTTCTGACTAAGGTATATTTGGATTTTCCAGATTAGAGATTATATTAGATTATTGCCATTCTAGCATAATATAAAGATCATCACAATTTCAAAAGCAGCTGTGCATAAGTAACAAGTAGTTACCAAGTTTTAATGAGGGTGGAAGAATGGAAAGTACTCAAATCTTAATTTCCTTTTAGAAGACTATCTGCTGTGACCCCTGGCTAATTGATCATATTTTTTTCCCTCATACTTGATATAAAATAGCATTGAGTTCAGGCTGCATAACGACATTAACAGATCCGTTCATTTGCATTTTGTTATAAAGTAGGCACATTAGGCTTGAATAACTGTGCTTCGTTCTGAAGAAAAAAGCGGGGCAAAACTCCCCCCCTTTTTTTTTCTTCTAAAGACTGAAGAGTCTTTCCTGACAGCTAGTCAGAGTTAGAATTAGTTCAAGGAAATGTTAATAATGCACTGCCTAGCTTAATCCCTTTGATATCACCAGGTATCCTCCTGTTCATGGGTTAATTGCTTTAAAAGCGAAGGCAATATTCTGAGCGGTGGGCCGCTTCACCTTTTCACAGCTGTTACCATTGAGTGACAACTAAATCCCATGTGTAAGATGAGGAAGAGCTCAATCTCCAATTGGGAGAAAATTTATGTAAACCGCAATCCCTTCAGAATGTACGGAAGTCATAGACTTTCTTGATTTAC